GTTCTTCCTGGGGCCAGTTCTCGGGTTTCTGTTCATCCCTGATCAGTTGTCGGTGCACAGCGTTTATCACGTGCTTTCCCTGCCCCACATCTGTCAGAAACTTGAGACTGAGTGTGGCACCTGCATGTGGTAAGTACTGATGCACATTTTGGAGACGCTGAAAAATCGTGATCACCTTCAGCATCCTGCTCTGTGCTGTTGGTGGCAAATATTTCTAGAGTTTGTCATTCCGTGTTGATGGTGAACCATTGCATACCCAGTCTGTGTTTCTAGAGCAGAGAGCCACGCAGCCACTGTGTAGTAGTGTGGGGCTAGTGAGATGAGTGAACATTGATTTGGTGCACAAGCTGCGCCCACCAAATGCACTTCATGGACTTTCCAGATTAGATACAGGGGGAAAAACTGTCTCCATTTCAAGTTCTGGCTCTAGTTCAAATAAGAATTTGTTATGTCCCTTAGGCAGCTGTGCCAGACAGCGCTCAGCTCTAGAACTATTTGGTATCCAAACAATGAAGAGTGTGCGGGGTCAGGGAAACCTGACAGGAAAAAAGCCCTCTTAGAACTTCCTGCTTTGGGTCATGGTGTAATCACAGCAAATAATACAGATTTCCCTTTTATTATAACCACAATAGAGAGGCAGACGTTGTGTTTACAAGGCTCGTTGTTGGGGAGATGTTTGTAAATTGTAAACTTTGGAAATCCCAAAACTACTGGATGCAGTCTCATCCGTTAGCCGAAGCAGCTTGCCTGTGCATAGGTTCTGAGCAGCAAGTTAAATTGAGACCGTGAACGGGAAGCAGCCAGGGAAGCAGCCATTAAGAATTACAATGGGTAGGATGCAGGCTTAATTCAGGGAATGTTTTGTTAGATGATTACATCACAGGACAGCTGAGTGCTGTGCTGGACTCTGCTTGTTGTCTGCCCTGCCCTGGAGGCTAGGACCCAAGAGACAGCAAGAGAAGTAGCTCCCTTGTTTGGAATAGTTAGGGGTTGGCTGGCTTCACTGGGAATTGACAACAACCTAGATTTTGGACTGTGCTCTCTCTGCCAAACTGGATGCATAGCCTCAATAAATACTGAGAGCCACTTCTCATGTCTACTTTTGGAAAAAAAATAGTATTTATTATTTATATGTCTCTGTGTGTCCTTTCATGAGTTTATGCACCATGTGTGTGCAGGAGCCCTTATAGAGCAGAAGAGGCTGTCAGGGCACCGTGTGTGTGTGCAGGAGCCCTTATAGAGCAGAAGAGGGTGTCAGATCTCCTGGAACTGTAATTTTAGGCAATTGTGAGCTGCCATGCAGGTGCTGGGAGCCAAACCTGGATCTTCTTCTAGAACAGTAGGCCCACTCTGCTTTGCCGACCCATCTCCCCTCATCCTCACTCTTTGAATGGATGTTTACTCAGACCACATGGTACAAGTCGGTGATAAATACTGAATGGTGGTTTCCCTCTGAAGGTCATGGTCAGTACAGTGTGGTTACAGTCTTCCTATGGAAATGTTGTCATGACGTCATTGAAATGCTATTTTTGTCAGCTTACTGAATATTTTAGAAAGTCTTAAATGTTGGCTAATGTTAAGAAATCATGCAGTGGAAGTTATTTCCCAGTGTTTATGTTCAAATGCTCAGGCCTGTCTTACTCTTTGGTTTGGTAAGTCTAGGGGATATAGGCAGTCTGGGGACATTCATTGATTTATACAAATAGATTACAGATCTGTACAAATAGATTACAGTTCAGCCAGAGGCCTTTATTTATTTTAATTGAGTTCTGTGAAACTTACTTACTGTATGGAAATACCTGTTGTGTTTTGCCTACCAAATGACTACTGTTTGATTTGGAGTAATTTTAGAGGGATCCATAGGTAAAAAGACATCATGAGTATTATGTTCTATAATTTCCAAAATTAATATTCACAACTGTTGGCTGAAAATGTATTTTCTATCCATTATGATTAAGGCAACTATTAACTTTTAGTCTGATGTTTACTAAACAGTTAAAGCAGCTTTGTATTAGAGCAAAGAGCAGTATTTCTCTAAATGTCATCTTTGAAGTGGTCCATCTATAACAGTGGTTCTTGACCTTCCTAACGCTTCGACCATTTAATGCAGTTCCTCTTGTTGTAGTTACTCCCAACCATAAATGTATGTCCATTGCCACTTCGTATCATAATTTTGATACAATTATGAATTGTAGTGTAAGTATCTGATACACAGGATGTCTGACGTGCAACCCCTGTGAAAGGTTCATTCGACCCCAAGAACCATGACCCACAGGTGGAGAACTGCTGATCTATAACTTGCTGATGGCTGGCACTGGAGGCTGGAAGTGAGGAGCCTATTGCTTATCTCTTTAATGTGAATTATGAATTTCTAAGGGGATTGTGGTATCCTCTACTCTCCAGACTAACACACTGAACATTTAAAAGTAATATCTTCATGAACCTGGATGAGCAACTTATATATAACATCTAACTTTTATAGCTCACAGTGTATAAGTACATGCATAAAAATCCACACAGATGGCTGGTGAGATGGCTTAGCAGTCTGAGCATGTTGCTCTTGCAAAGGACATGAGTTCCGTTCCTAGCACCCATATGCTGGCTCACAGCCATCTGTAACTCCTATTCTAGGGGGATGCGAAGCCTTCTACCTACAAAGGCACCAAGTACACACATGATACACATATTCATGCAGGCAAATACTTACATACATGAACTATAAATAACGTTCTGCTGTATGCATTGTCGTATCTGTTTAAATTCATTCCACTTAAAAATTTTCCCCCATATTTATCATTTAAGGCAGTTAGCAGTGGCTTCATTAAGCTCACCTCTATCTTCTTCTGTATCCTTAGCGTGGAGCCAAGGTACCTTAGGTGACATTAGCAGACATTAATATTTTGAAGGACGAAGTATTATATAATGAAAAGCAGCTTGGGTGGTTAGATGTTATTCATGAATTGTGTCATACAAGAGTCTTGGAAACGGTTTCAGTGTGATTAAGCAATATTGCATACTGCCAGAGCTGTTAGGTAATTTCTAAGACAACGGTTTGGGGAACAGGTGACCTTTTGGCTCAACTGTGTTATGTCCCCATCATGATTTTTTTTCTTCTGAAAATTAATAGCAGCCACACAGAGAGAGGAGAGGGGGGGGGGAGAGAGAGAGAGAGAGAGAGAGAGAGAGAGAGAGAGAGAGAGAGAGAGAGAGAGAGAGAGGGAGGGAGGGAGGAGGGAGGGAGGGAGGGAGGGAGGGGGAGGGAGGGGGGGGAATACCCCTTTAATAAGAACTGGAGCTGTTCATTAACTCAGGCAAGTGATGAGCAATGCACTTTTCATTGAGGAATATTAGTTATAATAGGAACCATTTTTAAAGTGATGCTTGAGGAGCCCAATTGTAATGGATATGTGGTGGCCTAACTCTAGCATTTGTATTTGATTTCATTATATCCCACTCTGGGTTCACTGTAGACTTATTGCAAAGACAGAGACATCAAATACAAAGAAGCTTGTTGATTTTGCAACTCTTTTCTTTCCTTTGAGAAGAAGTAGTTGAAAGATGTGGTTAATAGTAATAACATGGCTCAAAGCAGCTTATGTGCAAATGGTCAAACTATCAAGTTCAGAGAGCCATTTTGATAGACTCCCCAAAGCCCTTCATAGCGTAGGTTTTATACAATTTCTTATAGATTAAGACTGATTACAGTATTTTATAGATGTTGTTAAAATTTAGTGTAGATTCAGAAAGAAGTACCAAATTTGAAGCCCATGTACCCCAGAAATACAGTAGTGTGGCCCAGTCAACCAATTAGACCTTGAAAATTTAATAAAAGTAGCGTCCAGATTGAACCAAAGCAGTAAACCCATAATTTAGTAGGGGGACTGTGTGCACACAATTTCTTGGACAGGTTTTTCAGTTTTTAAATGAAAATGTAACATGAATGACAGTTTATACATTTCCTCTTACTTATATTACATTCCTCTCCAGAAGTTTCCTTCCAGCTTATTTATGGATGGCTTGCTTAATTCTTTAGACAGCTTGGTGAGACTGTAGCACATGAGACAGTGTGCCAGCGACAGGGCTTTCTGCCCTCGGGCTTGAAGGTTCTCTGGATCCCGGAAGACTCTCTTGGTACTGTTTGTTCACCTGTGTTTTTATTAGTTTTCCAGTGTATTCCTTTTTCAGTTTCACAGTGTTTGCATGATAGTCAAGTTGTGTAGCAGCTCCGTCTTACCATCTTCTTAGTCTTTTTTTTTTTTATGATTTCTATAAATATTTGAAATCCACACTTTGAACAGTTTTGGAGTGTATATAGCTCATTATTTGTTATAGTCCCTATTCTGTACAGTAGTTTCCTAGTGTATCAAAACATGGCATGGCACCCTACGAATACATGCAGTTATTCTCTGTCAGTTAGGTTAAATAAATAATAAAGCCTTCATTTTTTACGGTGTGATTCTACATGGGAGTTGGAATGTTAAAACTAATAAAGAATTTATGCCATTCCTAGGGCAATAATTTGACTCACCGGGGTAAGAAGTCTGTCTTTGAAACGTTTCTCCATAGTCCATCAGAGTTGTTTTCACAGCCGTGGTTGTTCTAGGAAACTTTTTTGCAGAGTCCACTATCTCCGAAGAACGCTTAACTAGCCTCTCATTTTCTCAGCCTGTGAGCTGAGAATCGTTAGAATTATTTTGTCTGGTTGCAAGTTGTTAAAGCCATTTCCATCAACAAGTTCTGTATAAAGACTTTGTTAAGACACTCTGTGCATACATTTTTGATCTTCAGTCATGTTGCTTTGTGACTGATACTTGGACATTCTGGCTTGCACAGCTCCTCTGCTGAACTTTGAGATGGATACGAAAAGAGCAGATCCCATTATATTTCATCACAAGGCGTGCTCCCAACTGTGTGGAGTCAAGGGGTACACGGAAGATACATGGGTTACTACTTGGCTTATTTACACCTACTCATTCTGGTTGGTTTTTCCCCCCTTCTAGGTTGTTTGATGTGTGCACAGTATCACGAACAGACAGAGAGACCAAACTTACACTGGTCTTTGAGCATGTTGATCAAGACTTGACCACTTACTTGGATAAAGTTCCAGAGCCTGGAGTACCCACAGAAACCATAAAGGTACCAAGAATCACCCTTCTGTCTGGTCAGACTAGCCTCTGTCACAGCTTACTCAACACTAGCATTCTTTCATGTGAAAACTGCCAGAATTTGTGTTTTTGAAATGTAATACACAGCTCAGAATGTCAACTAAGTAAAATGTTCAAAGAATGGAAAATCATCTAGCCCATCTACTAAGTAGGATCTTCAAAAAGTGGGATTGCAGTCCAATTTAATTTTAGGGTGAATTTTTTTAAAAAGCCTTTAGTTTTAATGCACATTAAAATTCTTTAAAATCACTTATTTGTGTATTATCTGGCCCTAATATTATGAAGTATGGTGTAACAAATACAGCTTAGTCTATCCTGGTAGTTCATATTCTTTAAGAGATATAATTTTAAATGTCGCTCAAAGTCACATTATATATTATAATTATATGCTGATTCTGAGGCATATTCATTGCTCAATTTTTTTGTTTTGTTTTTCTAATTCATAGATTTTGTTTGTTTGTTTTTTAGTCTAAATGGCAAGTAATAATCTTGATATTCAAAGGTGATTAAGACATGCTTTCTGCCCTTCATGGTCAACAAGCTAGGAAGTATATTGACTACAAACAAATTCTTTCTTTAAGTCTAATGGGAAAGCTACTCAAAACGACTTAGTGGCCTTGCCTGTCACTTTGCTTAACTCTATTTTCAGTTCATCTGTTGAATCTGTGCCCATCTCCACAGAGGAAGAAATGTCTTTTGAGTAATGACTAGATGATGTTCCCAGATACTGATACATGTAGACTGCAGCATAATAAACGACTATCCATTTGGGCTTAGGCTAATAAGAGTTCTGCTTTTTCCCATCTTGCTTTCATTAAAGATTGTGATATATAGTGGTAGTTCCATTTCTTTGTGTACAGTTTGAAGGCCACGAAAACCCTCTAAATGTAGGATTTCTGATCATCCATTCTTGGTTCTCCACTCTGCACCCTCTTCCTCTGGTACTGTATTCCATTCCCGTGACTCTATTTCTTTCCTTTATGTACTTAATCCAAAAGCTCCACATTGTGCCTGCGGAGCAGGGGCTAGTCCTTTTGGCTCACTGTTTTCTGACCATGTCAGAAGATGACAGTTTTCTCACATGGTCTGACTCCCACCTCAGTGGCCCTCCTGCCCATGGAGCTTCTGTTAGTCCTTTCTGGGTCCACCCAGATGTGTTTGATCCCCTCTCACAGTAGATATGTCTCGTTTGCCTTAGAGAAGTTGTTGCACACTCCACTTCTTCTTTGTATTTTCTACCCTTGTGACCATTTATATATGTATCTTATCCATGTGTACTGACTGTCATATTCGTTTTGTCTACTTAAGAACACAATAAATAGGACATGTTGCTAGGCTTCCTCCAGACATAATTATTTCAGTCAGTACATTAAATACAAATGTTAATTGGCTTTTTCTGCTGTAATTCTTCTATCAGTTATTCCATGATACCTTTTAAAATATCAAAACAAAGTAACCATATATTTATAGACCACACTGCCAGCTCCATAGAAATTTTTGTTTTTGAGTTTCACATTTTCTCCTAAGATATTAGAGGGTGATAAGTGAAGTTGTTTGCAGAAGGATTTTTATAATTAAAATGTTTGATAAGCCAGAGTAGTACACTAGAGGCAAAGCTTGATCAGACAGGAGTAGAAATGAAATGGGTCTGGGAGATTCTTGGGTATGTGTATGGAAGGTCAAACATAATAGGAAGAGAAGTAAGCGTGATTGTGGTTGCCAGAGTTGGGGAGTGCCAGGTTTAGTGCGTGCATGCATGCGTGTGTGCGTGTGTGCGTGCCGGAAAGTTGGTTACCAGAAGATTGAGATTCTCATGGAAGCTGAACAGTCTCTACAGCCGTCAGAATTAGTCCCTCTCTAGAGTAGTTGATAGAAGTGAGGTTGGGGGCCAGGCCTATAGATTAGAATTAATGACGTATGGTTAAGAATATGGTTAGTGTTTTCAAAATGGAGTATAACCATGATCAAATGAAAGTAATTTGTATGTAAAGACAAAAGTCTTTGGTTAATGGTAACAAGTAACTAAAAGTTTCTTGTTTTCATCCTTAATTTTAAAGAATAGGTCTGAATTGATCGACTTTTCGTTTTTAGTAATTAGTATCTTTCTAACCCTGATTGTTGCAATGATTTGTTAAGGGTGTTATGACGTGTATAAAATATACCTTATAGTCTGATGTGTTTGTCCACTCCTTCCCTAGCTGGTTGGAACACTTAGGAGGATGAGCCCGCTGGAGGAAGTGGGTCTTTGGACTGCAGGCCTTCTGGGTTGTAGCTCAGCCCCACTTCCTGCCCAGACTGCTTACTGCCTGGTCAGGGAGATGTGAACAGGCTGCTGACACACTCCCATAAAGCTGCTTGTCTCCATTACTCTCGATTCCACGACAATGACTTCCCTATCACACTGGAGTGCATCCGCTCAACCATGAGAAAAAATAAATCCCTCCTCCCCCTAATGTGTCCTGTAAGGTGTTTATCACAGTGTGGAGAAAAGTGATGGATGTAAAAATTAGTTTTAAAATTATGAGTAATTATTTAGGAGCTTATACAACCATCAGATGGGTAGTTAGGTTAAAGGTGCAATTGATGCAGTATTTTTGCTAGTCACTTGTATCTTTCGTTTTGGTAATTGATTTAATTTTAGGAATTGGTGTGCAGATTACTGAATTGTTGGTTGATGTTTTCAAGCATGGAACTGGATAACAGAGATACTTTGTTGTACAGAAGATGTATTTATGCCAAGTCTCTCCTTGAGCTAGTGAATGTTAGTATGTTGAACAGTTTATTGGGAACACAAAATGGATTCTTTCTATAGAATGTTCTGTGGAAAAAGACTTTTTTAGAATATACTGAGACACTATTTGTTCAGTGTTTACTATATTTAGAAAGTTTCTACAGTGAGCACTTAGCAGATGCAAAATGAGCCCACTCTCAGGGACCTTTCCAAAATGAGATGACACGTTTAAAAAGAGTGAGAGGGGTGGGGTGGTGGTGGCACATGCCCTTAAATCCCAGCACTCAGGAGGCAGAGGCAGGCGGATCTCTGTGAGTTCAAGGTCAGCCTGGGCTACAGAGTGAGTTCCAGGACAGGCTCCAAAGCTACACAGAGAAATTCTGTCTCAAAAAAGCAGAGAGAGAGAGATGAGTCTCACAAAAGCACATTGCAAACCTTCTTAGTGATTATTTGATAGTGTGGGGCATTTTCAAGTACAAACAGAAAAACCTCACCTAGGTCTTGGGCTCTGTGCCTGTGGCACGGAGGAGGTGTTCTCTAAAGTAGTCACAGCAGCTAGAAGGTTGGAGATACTGTACATTACATGGACATTATCTTACTTGATTGAGACATGCTATGTTGTCAAAGTAATTGTAATCTTGAAAATACTTTAACGTGAAATAGATTTAAACAAACAAGATAATGAGATAATCATGTAAGATGATTGAGGTAAAGGCCTCTGTCTTTACCCTCTGTCTTCCAGGATGCTCTCATGACGTGTTCACCTGTCAGTTTGCCGTCTGTTATCAAACGATTCCAGCGCTTATTGGGGTACTATAGAAGTGTAAATAAGATGGCAGGGCTGGATAAAACTAGAATATTTCATTGTATCTGGACAGGGATAGAATCTTTGTTTACCACTTAATCAGCATCTTTGTTAGAAAGCAGCAGGTGGAGGAATTATTAATTAATATCTCTCCGAGAACAGTTTTTCAGATATTTGAATAATATTTGTTTTGAAAAAATCAGGAAGCTTTACGTAGTTGTTCGTGTTGGTATTTGGTCAGTTTGTGGGGGATGTCCTTCCATTCCTGCATGGTCCTCCCATCCACCTTGAATAAAGGAAGTCCCAGGCTATGCCTAAGCTGAACATCACCTCTGAAAAGCTGTAGTAGTAGTAGTAATAATAATAATAATAACAATAATAATAAAAAAATTGTAAAAGACTGTTCTTTCCAACATTTTCAAAGTAAAAATTTCTAGGTAAAATGTTCTAAGACAAAAAAAAAATAGAATGATGTGTAAACCTCACCTTGAAGGTGTTGACATGATGTTCTTTCGGTCCATCTGTTCCTGTCTGATGGTGACATTTGCATAGGAAGCTTGTTGACTGCTGTACTGTGAAATCAACACGTAGCCTGATGTGACCTCTTGCCATGGCTGGCTCTCCTCTTTCTAGTTCAGACTGCTGTCTTCGAATCCGTTTAGTTGTGGAGCTGAGTTCCACCTTCACCTCTCATCTTCATGCATCCATCTGCCACTAAATGACAAGGGTCAAAAGACGGGTCAGTTCATTCGCCATATTCCTTCGTCATTCGGAGTAAAGGGAGCCATATGGCGGAGTACTGGGGAGAGTCCTCGGTGAGGCATTCTTTCCCAGAGCAGCCCCCCAGTGCTGCTCTTGCACTGAACCACTTCCAGGACACTTGCACTTGCCTGCAAATCAGCTTTCCTAGGAACTGGCCCAGCGTCTTCAGCTAACTTACAAACTCCTTGAAAACGTACCTAATGTTTTTCCTTGGACATTCTGCCGCTGCAGCCTGTTAATGAAATGGACGCTATCATTTCATGAGAAGAAACACACAAGCATTAGCCTCTCAAACAGGACAGGTTCTCTGAGCTCAAGAGCATATTGCCTCACGGAATCATGGAATAAAAATTATGTCCGTGTATCCCTATGATAAATGAATTCTATGGAGCTGGAGAGAGAAAAAAAAGCTCAAAGTTTGTGTCTGTGTGGGTAATTTTCTCACTGAATTAGATTTCTTTTTATCTTCAGTTTAATGTTTCTTGGAGATTCTGTTGGTTTTACTGTTTTCAGTAAGAGATAAAGTGTACTATTAGGTTTATTTTACAAAACCCAGACTTCAGAGACCAACACGCACTCTTGACAGCACCTGCTTTCTGCCTCTGGGAAATCATCTGTTTTCATGACTAATATCTACTTGCAGTAAACAGTGGCTCTGATGTCAGGATGGACT